CCCCAAAACCCCAAAACCCCTTGAGCTAAAATTGATGGCTAACAATAATAATTTCAGTATTTTAATAATTAAAAATGATAGTGCTAAAATTGAGAAATTCTCATAAAATTTTGAATCAACTGCCAAAAGTACTATTTCTTAAGCCTAATCGCTAATTTTCAAGCTCTGATGCTATGCTTAACTTCCCTTATAAACTATTAAACACCGAGGAGTTTTTAAAGACAAGAGAAGCTACTACCAAAGAAAATCTACACTTTATGAGTTCATATTTGTTCTTAGATGAATATCAGCTTCATGAAGGATTCAAGTTCGCTTACTTAGGGCTTTTAAAGAAAATTGCAGAGAATGATGTTTAAGGATTAAGAGAGGTATGTGAAAAGAACCTTTCACAGGCTTTCAGTGATTCTATGTGGGAGATATATAAAGATGTAGAGAAGATAGAATTGCTCAATGAAGATCAATTTCCAGACAATGTTAAAATCAAATTGATTGATTATCACTAGTTCTTTGGGGTCGAAATAGATAGAGAATCAAATAGATTAAAAAATTGCTAGTTATTTGAAACAACAAGGAAAAAGATACCTAATACAGACTTTTATATGCCACTTAACCCAACATGGAATGAGACTCTTGGAATGAATCTAGAATTCTAATTAAAGATTGAGACAAATTTAAAACTAAATTTTATTGACAAGCAAGGAAATAGTCTCGTTTAAAATGAAAGAGAAAAAGAAGTACATTTTATGTAAATTGAAAGTGTTACCGAACAATATCCTATCAGTCTCAAGGCAATACCTATGCTATTCAGGAATTATTTTGGCAAAAAACTTGAATTTTAAGAGTGGATAATAACTGATTTCGATAATGCTTTAAATCGTAATCCTCATGTCATTCTTTGAGAAATATTACTAAGACGTCTACACTGGCATAATCACTGGCCTAAAAGATATAATTATCTTTTTATTTAAAAAATCATCATCATCTTAACATACATCAATCAACAGGTAATGGGGTTTTGGGGTTTTGGGGTTTTGGGG